TTTTTTTTTCTTTTTTTCTTTTTTCAGTTTAAAAGGATGCTTAATCGAGAGCTTACCCATCTCTCTGAAATGAGTCGGTCTGGAAATCAAGTGTCAGAGTATATATCAAACACATTCTTAGGTGAGAATAACATGCAATTTTAAAATTTTCTTTTGAGTTGTTTATTTGGCTTTGGAAGGCTATAGGCACCAACCTATTTTAGAACTCACACAAGCATTAGAAATTATACTTGTTTTCACTCACCGTATTAATAACTTGAGCCTCTAAGCCTGAAAATCTAAGGTAACTTTTTTTTTCTTTTAATCTTTTAGTTTTTATTCAACTTTAGGGCTTCTGTGAATTAAGATTTTATAGTGCCAGTGTTTTCACAGGACTAAACCATAAAATATGTCTTATATAGAGATCTCTGCATATATTCAAAAGTACTTACTAAATGCCAATTATTACTAGGCACTATATACTTTAGTGGTAAATGTAATTTGACTGCCTAGTGGCCACCAAGCCCAGTCAACCAATGAGGCAAGTGCAATGCAATTGTTGAAGAAAAAGTTGCTGATAATAGCTGAAAGTGTAGTGTACTAGAACCCCCCATCCACAGTAATAAAAAGTAATAAATGAAAGTCAGTGACTTGAATATGTCTTTGATTTACTTCACTTTCAAGTAAAATTGTTATAACTAATTAGCACACTTAATAAGCATTTATTGAATACATAGATGTGCAAGGATGAGTTTGCTGCCTTGAAATAGTGGATAATTGTACTGAGAAATCTTATGTCTCTTAGGAAACAATAATTAGTTCACATGCATATTCACTTATCAGATTATCAGATACTATTAGAAATTCTCTCCCCCATAAAACCTTGGAGCTTCATAACCCTTATCTCGGTATAGCATAGGAAATATAGAGCGGCAGAAATTATTTAAATCAGCCAAAAAGCTGCCTCTGCTTGCACAGCGTGACCGCTTTGATAAGCCATTAGGCTCATACATTGTTGTTTTTATGACTCAGTGTACATTGTTTCTACATTTCAAAGTAGATATTATAATTAGAGTCCTTAGTTGGCAAGGGTAATTTTCAAGCCACTGTGAATTTCAAATAGAAATAGAGTTGATGACCAATGAAAACAATGTGTTTTGCTTTTCTAGCTATTATGGTAAGTCTTGTTAAAGAAAAAAATATAAATAAATAAGGGGATTCTATCAGTGACAGAACCACAGAGTACACTTAATGTTAGTTGACGTAAGTTATATTCAAAGCTATGAAATTAAGTTCATATCACATTGTGAATACCCAACTTTCTACAAGGAGTGTAACATGGGAACATTTCCTAGAATATATAATGATCAGTTAAATCCTGTCCTGTTATGTGTGTTATGATAAAAAATGATGGAATCAATAATAAATGTAAAGCATCTTCTAAATTTCTTAAGATAAGCAACATGAGGTGGAAATTCCTTCTCCGACTCAGAAGGAAAAGGAGAAAAAGAAAAGGCCAATGTCTCAGATCAGTGGAGTCAAGAAGTTGATGCACAGCTCTAGTTTGACTAATTCAAGTATCCCAAGGTTTGGAGTTAAAACTGAACAAGAAGATGTCCTTGCCAAGGTATGATGCCTTCAGGAATCATGACCATAAATACATGATGATGCTTTCTAATGAATTCTGAGACTTTCTCTTGTAAACAGGTAGAAAATGCACATATGTGTGTCTGTGTATGTGTTTGAACCTATATAAACCTCTTTAGAAATTATTTGAGTTTTATCAATATGTGGATTTAGACAGGCTGTTTGGCATATGTATTCTTGACTTTTTGACATCTACATTTTATTCTTTGAACTAAAAGAATGAGAAATATATTTTCTGTATATTTATATATCTTTTTAAGGAGAGTTAGCTAAGGTTTGTTGTTGTTGTTATGTGCCTTCGAGTTGGTCCCGACTCATAGTGACCCCTCCTTGGGTTTCCGAGGCAGTATCACTATGGAAGGAGGATTGCCCAGCCTTCCTTCCGAGGAGTGGCTGGTGGGTTTGAACCTCCAGCCTTCTGGTTAGCAGTCAAGTGCTTTAGCCACTATGCTACTTAGTGAATGAGTTTTAGCCACTGAAGACATGCTTTGAGATTAATATTCAAAGTGTGTACATATGTTGTATTAGCAAAGTCATAAGGTTAAGCAGTGCTATTCAGTTTACATTTAAGTGCATTTAAGTGAACTTGCCTAAACTTTGCCTGTACTTAAACTGTACATCCATTACATTTTGAATTAATCATTTAAAGAAGTTAATAATCTTTATTTTAATTACTACTTTTTAAAGGGTTACGTCCATGGATTCAAGTATTTTTTTAATTTTTTTTTTTTTTTAACCCCAGGAACTAGAAGATGTGAACAAATGGGGTCTTCATGTTTTCAGAATAGCAGAGTTGTCTGGTAACCGGCCTTTGACTGTTATCATGCACACCATATTTCAGGTATCCTGGTTAAGTTCTGTCACATTTATTTTATTCAAGGACTTAATATCTAGTCTGAGGATTGTGCATGCACTTTGTCTTCTTCACTAATCAGTCTGTTTTACTTACTTATTTTGATATATTTTTTTTTT